CCAGTCCCCCCCAGTCCCTCCCAGTCCCCTCCCAGCCCCTCCCAGTCCCTCCCAATCCCCTCCCAGTCCCTCCCAGTCCCCCCAGTATCCCCAGTCCCCACCTGGAAGTGCAGGATCTTGGCGTAGGTCTCCAGGACGGTGTCGGCGAAGAACGGGGTCCGGCCCAGGAACATTTCGTAGCCGAGGACCCCCAGAGCCCACCAGTCACACTCGGGGCCGTAGGAGCGCGAGGGGTCCTCGACCGCCAGCAGCATCTCGGGGGACAGGTAATCGGGGGTGCCAACTGCCACCGCCGAGCGCACCTGGGGACATTGGGGACATCACTGGGGACATTGGGGACATTGGGGACATCACTGGGGACATTGGGGACATTGGGGACAGGTAATCGGGGGTGCCAACTGCCACCGCCGAGCGCACCTGGGGACATTGGGGACATCACTGGGGACATTGGGGACATTGGGGACATCACTGGGGACATTGGGGACATTGGGGACAGGTAATCGGGGGTGCCAACTGCCACCGCCGAGCGCACCTGGGGACATTGGGGACATCACTGGGGACATTGGGGACATTGGGGACATCACTGGGGACATTGGGGACATTGGGGACAGGTAATCGGGGGTGCCAACTGCCACCGCCGAGCGCACCTGGGGACATTGGGGACATCACTGGGGACATTGGGGACATTGGGGACATCACTGGGGACATTGGGGACATTGGGGACATCACTGGGGACATTGGGGACATTGGGGACATCACTGGGGACATTGGGGACATCACTGGGGACATTGGGGACATTGGGGACATTGGGGACATCACTGGGGACATTGGGGACATTGGGGACATCACTGGGGACATTGGGGACAGGTAATCGGGGGTGCCAACTGCCACCGCCGAGCGCACCTGGGGACATTGGGGACATCACTGGGGACATTGGGGACATTGGGGACATCACTGGGGACATTGGGGACATTGGGGACAGGTAATCGGGGGTGCCAACTGCCACCGCCGAGCGCACCTGGGGACATTGGGGACATTGGGGACATTGGGGACATCACTGGGGACATTGGGGACATTGGGGACAGGTAATCGGGGGTGCCAACTGCCATCGAGGAGCGCACCTGGGGACATTGGGGACATCACTGGGGACATTGGGGAATTCTCCAGGTGCTCATAGAGTGAAGCTCTGTGTCCTCCCCGTGTCCCCCCCCGTGTCCCCCCATGTCCCCAATGTCCCCCCCCGTGTCCCCAGTGTCACCCCCACTGTCCCCCAGTGTCCCCCCGGTGTCCCCAGTGTCACTCACAGTGTCCCCCTGGTGTCCCCAGTGTCCCTCAGTGTCCCCTCAGTGTCCCCA